TTTGTCGTGCCAAACACGGACAAGACTCCCATTTCCAATTCTCCAGCGGGTGTTACACTTGATGATATTCCTTGTTTCTAACAGGCTAGACCAAACAAAAGATGGATTACCACCCTTTACAGCATCAACGAAAAGGGAATCCGGGTAATACTTAGCTTTCATGATTTTTGCAGCTAGAGACTCAGGTTGGTCAATCAGCCTCCAAGCTTGTTTTGAGAGCATGGCAAGATTAAAATCTCTAATCCTACGAAAGCCCATTCCCCCCCCATTTTTTTGGAACACAGAGTTTATCCCATGCCATCCATCTCAGACCCCTGCCCTGCTCACTACTCTTTCCCCACCAAAAACCATTCATGGATCTCTCTATTTCGCTCACCAACCCTTGAGGAAGCAAGAACAAATTCATGGCAAAAGAGGGTATAGCTTGAATAACACTCTTCAAAAGAACCTCCCTCCCCGCCCTTGAAAGGAACTTATGATTCCAAGAATTCATTCTAGCCACAATTTTTCCCTTAACAAACCCCAAAATATCCCTTTTATTCCTCCCAACTAGAGAAGGTAAACCTAAATAATTCCCAGCATTTCCCTCCAATCTCACCCCCAGAATAGAACCAACAACCCCCCTTATTGTTACATCCACATTTCTGCTAAAGTTCAGAGAGGACTTTTCATAATTTACCAACTGACCAGTGGCAGTAGAGTACGTGTCGAGAATGTGTTTGCAAATGATACTTTGACTCTGGTTTGCCTTGAAAAAAACATAGCTATCGTCGGCGAAGAGAAGGTGAGATATCCTGGGAGCGTTACGAGCAATTCTGACACCATGAAAGTTTCCCAGCGATTCCTGCTCCCTGATAAGAGCACTTAGACCTTCCCCCAATAGGATAAACAAATAGGGAGATAAGGGATCTCCTTGTCTAAGCCCACGTTCAGGAATGATAGGGCCTAACTCTCTTCCTTCCCTCTGGATGACATACTCCACTGAACATACACATTCCATAATTAGCATCACCCACCTGTGGCAGAAACCAAGTTTCAGTAGCATAGCCCTCAACATCCCCCACTCAACGCGGTCGTATGCTTTGCTCATGTCGAGTTTTAAAGCAACATAGCCATCAGCCCCTTGCCTCTTGTTCTTCAAGTAATGTTGTGCTTCGAAGGCAATCATAATGTTATCCGTGATTAGGCGCCCAGGAATGAAAGCGCTTTGATTCTCTGAGACAAGACTATTCATGAGAGGTTTCAATATGTTGGCCAGGACCTTAGCAAATATTTTATACACTACGTTGCAGAGGGAAATAGGTCTCAAGTCCCCCATGGACACTGGCTTGGCCTTCTTCGGGATTAGAACAAGCTGGGTAGAGTTAAGACCTCTTGGCAGTTGCCCTGAGCGAAGGAACTCATTGCATAATCTAACAATATCTGGGCCAAGAATATCCCAATAAGCCTGGTAGAAACCCGGGTTGAAACCGTCGGGGCCCGGAGATTTATCAGGATGCATTCCAAATACTACCCTTTTGACCTCGTCCGCACTAGCCCTTCTTAGAAGATCTGCATTATTAGCCTCGGTGATTCTGGTAGAGATGCAATTCAGAACTGGTTCCATATTACCCTGGGAAGAAGTAAACAAGTGGTTAAAATAATCCAACATAAGATTATCAAGGTCAGTACCCTCTTCACACCAAACTCCATTGCCATCCATAAGCTTTGCAATGTGATTATTACTCCTTCGTCGTTGACAGGACATGTGACAAAATTTTGAGTTAATATCACCGTCCCTGAACATAAGATTATCACAATTAGTTTCTGATTATTAAGAATCTGCGGTAAATTTAACCATTGAAATGTGCTAACCAAGCGCATGGTGAACACAAGAATTCATCTTCACTAAGGTTCAAATTTATCACCTTCCACATAGGAAAGCAACATGGTACCATTGAACTACAAGGTTCTTGTATCTTGTATTGTATTATACATTATAAAAATGATCACCATTTCCCCAAGGTCAAATTAGTACGAAAAGTTATCTATCATACCGTGCATGCCTGCCTGCCGTTTCAGCCATTATTGGTGGGTTAATTTCTATGTTTACATTATGGTTTTCTAATAAAATAATCCTGGGTGTCCACGTGCGTGATGCGTCCGACCACCTTTTATTTCATTTGTAACAAAAGTTAACGCTAAAGAGGCATAAGACTTTACGTCGTTACGTTAAAGATGGATCAACAGATTCGTCCTTTTGTAGGAAATATAAAAATAAACTCTGTAAAGCAATGAATTATAACTTTGTAGTTATTAGCTGAATCTATGCACTGAGTAATTAAATTCTGTATTATGATCCTAATTGATAAAGGACCACAAGGAAGTAAACGAATCTAAGTTGTCATAATTGATCCGCACAAATTGAGAAAGTCAATAAACCGCTTCCGCTGAAAGTTAAAGTTGCTTGTAATCTTGTAATTACTAAATCAACAATTTAACAAACTTAATTGAAAAACATTATTCATGAGAATATCGAATTAAGATTGACATTTTTATAGGCTACTGCATGGAAAATATCTTATCATTAAACATTAGGAAAAAAAAAAATCTTCACTTTGTATATATAGTGAAATCATTATTATATATAGTCCAGAACGCGTGTATGATTTGGTAACGAGAATAACATTTCAACTTGCGTACGTTAGTTGTAACTTTTGACTGTGTCTGATCGATTGTTTGAAAGATTCAACATTATTCGGAGAAGGTAAGGTTTGGTTTGAACGTGACTAAGAAGAAGCCGGCCTGAATAAGAAAACCTTTCATCACTTTGGAACTATTTCATATTTGTACTTATCGAAACAAACACTCCTTCACACTGCCATTTTTTCATAATCAGTCCCTAATTAATTAATTAGGGGGCGTTTGGTTCAGGTTATATAACATAATCAAGGGAATGTGACATTTCAAAGCTCACATTCCGGTGTTTGGTTCATATTATCTTAGGGAATCTAACATTCCCAAGGAATGTCACATTCCCTCCACATAGGATTTTGAAGGGAATGTGATTCCCTTCAAAATCTTAGGTAGTGTAAGATAACATTGGTTATATTAGTTATATATATATATATATATATATATATATATATATATATATATATATATATAAAATTATTTTTGTAATTATATATATTTTTATTTTTATTATGTTATGTTAATATATAAAATAATTTTGTTTCTCAAGTTCAAGATTTTAGTTAATATTTTAAAATCATGTAATTATATATGATACCTTTATCTTATTTATTTATTTTAATTTTAAAATATATGAAAATATGTTAAGGATATTATAGTGTGTATGAAAGATAACCCTAAACTAAACATGATTATATTACATACCTCAATTTTAACCAAACACAGGAATCTGACATTCCCAGTAATCTAACATTCCCAGCAATCTAACATTCCCTAAGGTAATCTGACATTCCGTGAATCAAACGACCCCTTAGGGTGAAGCCATTAATTGGTCTGATGTCAACTTTTCAACCAACTTGACTGATCTCAACTTATCAGTACGCTAAATACTTGCGCCATGTTTCAATTAACTCTTTAAAGTCTTTGTTCAAAACTTATGATCCTAGTTAAAACTTGGGCTTTTGTAATTACTCGCTAATTGTCCAACCAACTTGATGGGGATTGATCTATTTGTATATAGGCTGTGACACTGGATAATAGAAGACACACACGTACGAAGAAACTTCAGGAACTAAATTCCAAAATCAAACGACTACATATTAAGACAATTATTACTGTTCTTTGCCAAAACTACATTCGATATAATAGCGACCAAACGTGCCCGTGAACCTTCATATATTTTAGGAAAAAAACTCCAAATGTCCCCATGTACAATCGATGGAGTGCTTCACAAAAATTTTTATTTATAAATGTCCCAGAAGTGGTGACCAAGTGGGTAGAGTATAGTTCACGTACTTAAAAGTCATGAATTTGACGATTTATCTATCTAATGTGGTTTGCTCACTATTACACGTAAGCTGAATTTACCCAATATATATTCTCGAATATTAACAACATGTTTTCTTCATCTCCCAAAAAAATAAAAAAATAAAAAAATAAAAAGAAAATTTGTTATTAATAAAATTTGAATAAATGACCAAAAGATAAAAGAGTTAAAATTTTCGTCAACTATGTACACCTTATACCTTAAAAAAAGTGTAGTTAAAGATTTGAATTTTTAATTCCATACAAGTTGGTTCCAATCTTGACAAGAAGATACTGATAGTATGATCCATTGAGAGATATTCTTCTATTAAAATTTAATAAATAATTACCAAATCAGTAGTAGATCTAATTATACATTTATACTTATCATTTTGTATCGACATTAGAATCTAATGAGTGAAATTGAGAATTTATATCCTTAAATTTCACAACATTTAAAATTCAAAAGTTCTAAATACATTTTTTAGTTGGAATACCTAATTATATTTTCCTTAAAAATAAAAAAATATATTTAACAATTTCCTCGGCACACATTTAACACTAATTATATTTTTTGGTGGGGGGAGACAATCCCAAAAGAGGAAAAATGATCCTCTATCTCTAACTACACTCAATAGAGACTCTCCGCAATTAGAGAATATCCATCAAATCTTCATTAAGGACACTATACAAGAACACATAAATGTCTTCATCAAAATATTACACCGATGAAGAAACATTGCAACAAGATAATTTATTTAACTAGAAGAAATTTAATTTTCTTAAAATGATCACAAATTAAATTTTTGTGAATGAAATAATTAAACATTTATGGAGCTTTCCTACATGCATATACACACACATGTATAATAATATATAATATATAATATAGATATATACTTGATTGTCAAACATAATATAGATATATACTTGATTGTCAAACCGCGTTCGTGCAAATAAATTAACAATTTTAATTTAATAATATCTTACATTTTTGTATATAAATACCAATGTTCTTTCCTCTATGTAATGAAAACAAAAAACTTCATTCAAATCGAGAAGAATGGAGATTTCCTTGCAGCTGAGTAATAGTACAAGGATGAAGAAACCAAGTGTTATTCCGAGGTTTCTCAGCCGGAGAGATGGTCGTCAGGTGAAGATCATATTGGCTTGTCGTCATACTAAGATTAATGCCATGAAAGACAACTTTTACGAGGTTCTTTCGTTGCGGTCCGAGAATGCTGGGGTTGAGGAGATAAAGAGAGCTTACAGATGCATGGCTCTTCAGTGGCACCCGGACGTCTGCCACCACTCCGACAAGGAGGAATCTACGCGGCGATTCGTCCAACTAAGAGAGGCGTACGAGACTCTATCGGATCCGGTTTCGCGTGAAATTTATGATCATGAATTAGGGCTGATCACCTCTTTCGACGGTGATGAGTTTGCAGTGAGGCGGTCGCGGCCGCCGCCGTGCATGGAGAACAGGCGGAGATCTGTTTTTGCTAGGGAGGTGTGGGAAAGACAGCTTAGTGGATTGAAAGCAAGATCTCGCCGGAGAATGGAGAATAGGAACAGCTACTAGATCAAGATTTCACTAACCCATTTTCTTTCAATTATTTCATTCTTTCTCTATTATTCATTAGAAGGTGCACTATGTATTTGTTAGCGCTTTTTCATTCAATTATTTCATTCTTTCTCTATTATATATTATATTCATTGGAAGGTATGCTCCCAGCCTGTTTGTGACGGGCAAAAGACCACAAAAAGTAAATCAATTTAGGTTATTCAGTTCATAATGACCAGTTCAAAAGGACCAGTAAACACGGAGTCAGACTCGAACTTCAAATTCTGTGGTTACCAAATTAACTGTCTGAACAACTTGGTTGGAATTATTGTCAAGATTCTTAATCCCCTCATAAGGGAAAAAAAGTGAGCTAATAAAAGAACATTCTAAAAGGGATGAAATCTTTTTTTTTTTTTTTTTTTTTTAAATATTTACAATTACAATGAATATATATACAATCCTAAGAATTCAATTAACATACAATGAATGGTAACTGCTGAGACATGCAATTACAGTTACAAGAAAATGAAAGAATAATTAATCACTAATCTAATGACTAATAATTAATGAAGGTGATGCATGCATGTCAGGACACAACTACAGTTGGAATTTGTGATCCTAAGTTGAATTAGAATCCAAAATTTTGCAGCATATATGTGACATTGCATGCATGATGCTTCAGTTCGATCTGCCCGCAGGTTGTAATTAATGTTTGATTGATTGATTGATCATCGGAGCAAAGAATGAGAATGTTTGAGCAAGGTGTTGAAAGGTCTGGTCTTGTGTGCTTTGCACCACAGGTTTCTTACTCCTGCACTCATCTGCAGATTTGATCATTCCAGATAACATTAATCATCAGCTTATAAATGCTAAAATGGTCGAAAATCGGGGGTTTTGTGGACAGAAATCTCTATAGATGAAGGGATAAGCTTACCCTTCCCAGGCTTTCCCTTGCATAAGGAACAGCTCTTTGGTATCCTCCCAGAGAAGTGACTGTTGGTGGAGATTTTCTGCTTCTTGTTGTGATTGACGATGATGAAGACTTCTGCCACCTTTCGTTCAATGATGAACTCGGGAATCTTTCCTGATATATATGCTTCAAATTCATTAATATCATCAAACTATGCATGGCATAATTAAACTAGAAAGAAGTAGTAATAATGTTTTGTTACCATTACACTTCGGCTTCTTGTTGTCATCATCATCTGTGTAGATCCCTGCTGCCATTTTCCATTCAATAAATCTGGAAGGCTTTCTTCCTACACATGAATGAGATCAATCTAAGAACTGTACAACGTTGTACGGTTGCATATATGAAACCAAAATAGCAAAATAAGGTGGGGCAATAATCTCAGCCAAGTTAGTCTGTTGTTTAACCACAAGGTTACTAGTTTGAATCTCAGCCAGAGTGGTCTATTGGTTTTCTTAGTTTGAACGTGTCAATTATGGGTAACCTGGACTAATTTATGATTTTTTGCTTATTAAGATAGCTGAGCGAAATTTGCCCAATGCACACCCTCATGTAGTATCTATCTACGAGTTTTCTTCATCATTCAAAAAGAAAAAATAGCAAGATTAGGTTGGTTGGTTACCAAAAATAGTACGGTTGCACAATGCTTCAACACCTCCAAATTCATGCGAACATCATCTAAGCTTCTGCAGGTATTCATAACAAAATATTTCAGCCTTTATTTATTTCTTGTCAAGAAATGCTGCATTTTTATGTATCTAATTAACCTGTGTTTCTGCTGCCCAAGTCCAAAGTATTCTGCTAAAGTTGCCATCTGAAGAGAAAAGATGAAGAATTGTATCATTATTACCATTGAAATGAATGAAATGAAGAAGAAGAAGAAGAAACAGATGATTGCGGCCATTAATATAATGTACCTTCATGTTTCCAGCTCTTCTTCCAAACTTGTGTGTCAAAACTCCCAAAGAATCAATGGTTGCAACCGGGGCCGGTGCAGGGCGGCCGATCTTAGCAAAGGCTTCCTTAATGCGAATACAATCAAATCTTTGGATGTTATGTCCCGCCCAGATTCTCCCATCCATAATGCTGAATATTCTGTCTGCAACTTCCTCAAACGGCGGCGCCTCCGACACTGCTCCCCGTGTTATTCCCTCCGGCCGCCCTGACCTCTCCGACACGGCGGACAGGTCGCCGGGCCGAATCAGCGTGCAGAAGCTCTCCAGCTCCGCCAGCCTCCGCGGACAGATGACCATCGCCCCGAATTCTAGTACCTGGAATCTTTGTCCTGTCTTGTTTGGCACTGTGGTTTCCAAATCGAAAAACACAATCTGGGATGCTCTTTCGCCGCCGCCGTTTCCCTCCATTTCTGCTTTCTGATCTGCCAATGGATACAAAGGTTAAGGTTGTCGTATACAACTGGAAATTAAATGACGGTTGGCTTGCTTGCTATATATAGAGAGGAATTGAATATTCTTGTGGCGCCAATGCCATGGATTAGCTAGGGAGATAGATTTTTCTTGTGATTCAAGTTAGGAGTAGTTTGGGTGTTTAGACAAAGTTGTACTTAGCTTCTTGTTGATGATATCCTTTTCGACTACTTTGATGTTGTTGATGAAACCCATTTTGGTTCCCAACAGATGTTGGGTGTTTCCAGTTCCCAAGCAATGTTAAAACTTTCTCTTTTGTATAAGTTAGTTAATACGGTTACCACCAACGTGGGGCACGCATGCTCACATGGCAATCATCTACACGCTAATCCTTTTCTTGACCAGTCAACCATGGGCCCACTTTTTTTTTCTTCCTTTTTTCTAATTTCTTTCATTCATTTTATTTCACTTTCTTTTTTTTTTTTTTTCAATTTTTTCTAATTAACTTTTTTATTTGAGTCAATTATGAACAATTTAAGTTATTTATTAGGTCTGAGCATTTATGTTTTTTTAGTACTACGGACTATGTTACAATGTAGCAATATTGTACCAAGGACTTTGTGATCCAATGGTATCTGGTTGCTCCCCTAAGTGGGAGGTGATCTGATCGAACGAATGACCTCCCATGCAGTTATAGTTTATGTTGGTTTATCTTTTTGTGGTCTTTTTTACCGATTAGAGTTACAAGGTAAGCTTCATCCAATGACACATTTGAGCGGTAGCTGTGGGAGTGTGGGTTGACTTCACCCAATACGCACATTTGGATAACAGTTACGAGTTTTTCAGTAAATTAAGGTATTTATAGTATAGGGGGCACTATGGTAGTCGAGTAGTTGGCTTGATAACCTTGATTAGAAATTTATTAGCAAATCAACTTATTTCATCATATCATATTTCTGCAATCTGGGTACAGAAAGCTCAGAAACTAGTAACCATAAGAAAGCAAGCATACAACAAGCAGACAGACAGGGCTCAGATTCTGAAGTTACAACAAAATCTGGCTTTCATGACAATTGTCCAACACACAAAATGCGGGGAAGACGAAGAGATTCATCATCAAACAGGTACAACTGGCCTGATAGTGAGCAACGCCTTCCTGATTCTTTCGACTGCTGCCTGCAATGTCGAGAGAGATGCTGCATACGAGATTCGGATACAGGTATCATCGCCAAAAGCATCACCGGGCACCAGAGCAACCTGTTTTAATCGAGGCGCCAGAATAAACCCAGTTTAGTAGTCTGTTATCATACTTTTCTTAGTTCAATATGCATAACGAACCAACACGCCAATTATACTTACTTGAGCTTTATCCAGCAAATACCGACATAGCGACTCTGAATCAGTCACAGCACCAAATCCAGCTACCTCTACTCCATAGTAAGAGCTGAAGTCAATAAACAGATAGAAGGCTCCCTGCAAAAATTGAATCGAGTTAATACAAAGATCAAGGTAGATAAATAGAGATATGTTCACAGATTGGTTTCTCAAGAAGGGCGTGGGGTGGGGGGAGCATTTTACAGCGTGTTTGGTTCATGGAATATTCCATTCCCGGGAATAGACCTATTCCATTGTTTGTCTTGTCCTTTCATTCCTGGGAATAGCATTCCCGGGAATGAGCTATTCCCTTTGCAGGGGGAATAGCCATTCCTAGGGACTCCTGGTATTAGCTATTCCCAAGTATAAGTTGTTACCTGAGGTTCTGAAATCTTGACGCCTTCCATTTCCCCGAAGCTTTTGACCAGAAAATCACGTCGCTCACGGAAGGCCTTTACCATCGTTGCAACTGCTTCTCCACCAGCGTACCCCAGCCCTAAAGCAGCAACGCCCGCTTTTTGTGAAATACTGCTGGCACCCGAAGTGGACTATATATATACATTGCCATAGAAAACTCAAATTAGATAGATATTTCAAAGACGAGCGGAAGATAAACTAATCCAGTTGTGCTAAAAAAATTACTCCGCATTTGGAAAAATCTATCGAGTAGATGGCATACCTGGCTCTGAATTTTATTGCATGCAGCAACGAAATGTTTAGGACCGGCAATATACCCGAGTCTCCAACCAGTCATTGCAAAGGCCTATAACGACCCCAATTTAGTGAGACGCTAAAACCAGGGCAAAGAAGAAAACAAAATGTCCTAGGACATGTTCCCGTAATTCAATGAAAACGGAATCACCTTAGAAAATCCATTTACGGTGAGAGTCCTCTCCCACATTCCAGGCAAAGATGCAAAGCTTGTATGAGTTGCGGGTGCATAAATAATGTGCTCATAAATTTCATCAGAAAGCACCTGAAAGGGAGAATAGGACGTCGCTAATATCATTTACAAATTCACGTCCCCACGTCACTTTATTGAAGATTAGGGAGTGTTACCAAAAGCCTTGGATGTTTCGCTACAATCTTAGCAATGTCCTCGAGTACTTTCCTAGGGTAGACAGATCCAGTTGGATTGGACGGAGAACAAAGAATCAACAGTCTTGACTTCTCCGTGAGTTTAGATTCGAGGAGCTTTGGATCCATGATAAAATTCTCAGATATGCTGGTAGGAAGAATCACGGGGTTTGCATCTGCCAACCTTGCCATTTCCGGGTAGCTAACCCAGAAGGGAGCCGGAATCAGAACCTGTAGAAATAACGAACAGCTCTAAGCCTCTAAGCAAATAAAAGTACAAATGACTGTAGATACGATTATACGAATTATCTATGAATAAATGATAATTAGGAATCTCTTAGACACTATGGAGTATATGTTTATTGGTACCTCATCTCCGGGAGAACAAACAGCGAGGACTGCCTGAAGAATGCTTTGCTTTGCCCCATTACTCACCAAAATTTGATCGGGGGTATAAGTTAGCCCATTCTCCTCTACATTAAAGAAATTTATCAACAAAAGTAAAAAAAAAAAATTGAAAATATCTCTTAGGATTATGAATAATTCAGATATTACGAAATTACCTTTCAACTTATGACAAATAGCTTGACGAATTTCCATAGTGCCTGCATTTGGGGTATACCTAGTATGCCCTTCACGAATTGCATTGATACCAGCCTAGGCACACAAGATCAAATGGTCAACCAACATATAAATTTTTATGATTGTTTAGAGTCCACATTGAAAAAATAAGAGAGAATATATGGGTTTATAAGATCATGGGTTAGACTAGCTAATTGGTTGGATTCAATCTTTTAGTGTGGTTTGACTCATGCGCATTATAGCCCAATCTTATAACATGGTATCAGAGCTTGTTTGGTCAACTTTATGTTCAACCGCTCATTGATCATTGGATAAGTAGCATGAACTGATATTCAAAACCTAAGCGGTTATTAAGCAATTGTAATGGTGTAATACCTCTGCTATCGGAGCAGGAGTATCGAAATCGGGTTCTCCAGCCGCTAATCTAATAACAGGAACTCCAGCCTGTGCTAGAGCAGTTGCTTGATCGGTTATAGCCACGGTTTTTGACGGCTTCACTGCATTCACTCTGGGGCTTAGAGAGATATCGACCTCCATACTGCAGCGAACTCTAGCAACCTGATTTACGCTACTTGGATACGTTTGCCTCTTTGACTCCAAAGATCTAGTTCAGATAGACATCGAGATCAACATCCCTCGCTCAATTAATATGAATAAAGAACTTGGAAATCATATCCAAATCATGAACAACTATTCATCCAACATAACCGTGACACAAAATTAGCTTGACCACCAATATAAAAAGCTGAGATTCAAGCAAAACTAAATTTCAGTTGCTTTGAAACAAACCGTTAATATTAGCAGATTTCCAGCACCATATCACTACCAATCAATCAAAAAAGCATTCTTTAACAAGTACAGGCCAATATATCAAGCTGAAATTCCAAGCAAAATTAAATTTCAATTGCCTTCAAAGAAACCATTAACATTAGTAGATTTCCAACACCTTATCACTACCCATCAATCAAAGAAGCACTCTTTAACAAGTACAGGCCAATATATCAAGCTGAAATTCAAGCAAAACTAAATTTTAGTTGCCTTCAAAGAAACCATTAACATTAGCAGATTTCCAACACCATATCACTACCCATCAATCAAAAAAGCATTCTTTAACAAGTACAGGCCAATATATCAAGCTGATATTCAAGCAAAACTAAATTTCAGCTGCCTTCAAAGAAACCATTAACATTAGCATATTTCCAACACTGTATCGCGCTACCCATCAATCAAAAAAGCATTCTTTAACAAGTACAGGTCTACCATTGCACCCAATGCGAACAAGATTAAAACTTTGAGTATCATTTGTTCAGTCCCCAGCACCCAAATCTTGTTGGAGGAAAAGAAAACAGTGCAAGTGAAGAAATCACAAAGAAGAAATGAAAATGGGGGAATCAAAAGGGAAATTGAGAAACTTACCTGAGGCTAATCGAGTTTAGCCGGGAAGAGAAAGAGAGTGATCTGAAGCTCTGAGAATCTGGGTAAGTTGTAGCTGGCCTGGGCGCAACACCGGGAGATGAAGAGCCAAAAAATTGCAGAGAATTGGAAGCCGTGGCCATTAGGAGAGATTGGTTCCCGGTTTAGCGAAAGTGATGAACTGCTGGTAGAATCGCATAGATAAAAAGATTGGGGTTGGTGAGTCTAAAATTAGGCGGGCGAAGAAGGGTTGTTGGAAGAGAGAAGAGTATGCATAACAACTCTGGGACAGGGGTTGGTGAATCTGAATATATTGTTTCTTAATATTTGAAATTAAAAAATTAAATTTTAAATATTAAATCAAAACAAATAACATTAGGGAGTGTCTGCCCGCAATTTCAAGAGGCCAATGAATTAAGTAGTTCACGTGTTAACAAGAACAATTGATTCTATGTTTATTCTAGGATTGTGGGAGTCTGTACCTCCGTTCTGTGTTTTGCATTTGGTTAATTTTTAATATAATTCCATTATTACCTTTCAAAAAAAACATCACATTAAAATGTATAAATAAATATAAAATATTAATGGAATAAGGGAATAAAACATAATTCTCATACTCATTTATATTTGAGAAAATTTCAATTTTGGTCATATGACTATAGGAGCTTTGTTAATTTCAGCACCTCACTTTCAAAAGTGTCAATTTAGTACCTTAACTATGCAATTTTGGTCACTCGGGCCAAATTGCTAATCAAATTTCGCCGGAAAATTTTAATAGTTAAAATAATGAGGGTATTTTGGTCATTTCACACATTTTTTCTTCTTCTTCAGCAAATCCATCTTTTCCACCATTTTCTAGCGAGAACCAAGGTTGAAACTGTCACTGTCGCTTCATCCTTGTACAGTTTCTTCGAAGCGCGCTCAGGGTTCGGCGCTTGTCTGATAGTGGCCCAACACCGAACATCGATCAACTTCTTCACGCCAGAGGGGAGCTTGATCTCGCAGTACCTGGACGAAGAGCTTGGCTCGGTCATGATATTCGCTATGGTGCCCTATCTTCGGACTAGTTTCGGGCCTTAACCGGGCTGCATCTCGAGGTTGTGAATTAGGGTCCCAATCCGCATCATCTTCAGCGGCATGGACGACCCTACATGGGAGCTGACATCAACAGTGAACGATGAGAGTGTAGAAGACGCCGAAGCCGCATCTATAAAAATAAATTAACCCCGGTTCTCGCTGGAAAATGGTGGGAAAATGGATTTACCGGAGAAGAAGAAAAGATGTGTGAAATGACCAAAATACCCTCATTATTTTAACTATTAAAAATTTCTGGCAAAATTTGGCCGGCAATTTAGTCAAAGTGGCCAAAATTGACAAAAATTACATAGTTAAGGTACTAAATTGACATTTTTAAAAGTAAGTGCTGAAATTAACAAACCTCTATAGTCATATAACCAAAATTGAAATTTTCTCTTTATATTTAATAGACTCAAAGTTATATTTTCAAAAAAAAAAAAAAAAAAAAAAGACTCAAAGTTAGATTTTTTTTTTTTGGTCAAATCTACAAAATGGGACACATGAATTACCCCCCAAGGGTCCTATGAAACACTTTTTCCCTATCCAAATGCAGCCCACAAGCTGCAGATTAAGCACCAAATATCGAGCATAGATATCAAGCAGCATACGCTTGCCTGCAAGCACAAAAATGGCGGTCTCAACATTACCAGTCGCTGCACCAAAGCTTCAACCTTTCACTCCCAAGTCCACCATTTCCCCACCTTTCAGAGTCACGGCTTCACTGCAACCATCTCCCAATGCCACTGCATATAGCAAGAGGCAAATTCTGCAACTGGGTGTTGGGCTCTTGGCTGCATCAATGGTGGCCTCTACTCCTCTGCAAGCCGACGCCACCAGAATTGAGTACTACGCCACCACCGCTGACCCCACTTGTGACTTCACCTTCGCCCCTTCTGGGCTTGGCTACTGTGATATCACCGTCGGGTCTGGCCAGGAAGCTCCCTACAATACGCTTATCAACGTATGTTTAATTTCTCAGTTTCTTTTTACATTCAGATCCTTAAAGATTCATTTTTTACGATTCTTGGAATATATCTCTTTAATTAGCTGTGTTTTCTTTGAGAATTGGATGTGATGCTTTGAACCCATTTGGTGTTATTATCATGAAATAGGGCAATTTTCTTATTCCCTGTTATTGTTTCTTGTTGTTTCGATTCAGATTCACTATACTGCAAGATTCAGTGATGGGATAGTTTTTGACAGCAGCTACAAACGTGGTAGACCACTCACTATGCGGTTAGGCATGGGAAAGGTAGTTGTTGCTGTTCCAATTGAGTAGTATTGGTGTTTGGTTCCTTTTGTGTGCTGAACTTCTAGCCCAATTTGTGACATTATGCATATCAGCTTCAGCTGAATTGAATTGCCAGCACAGGTAGCTTAGTTGGTTTCTAGGTGGCCCGATTGTGGGTCCTAAGCCCTGCCAGCCGTAGTGTGTGAGAGTTTCAGCCTCTTGTGGGCCTAGACACATGTCCTCCCACCTAATGGAACGTTGATTGAGCCCTACCAGCCGTAGTGTGTGAGAGTTTCAGCCTCTTGTGGGGTGGCCCGTTGTGGGCCCCAGGCACAGGTCCTCCCACCTAATGGACCGCTGATTGAGCCCTTCCAGTTGTAGTGTGTGAGAGTTTCAGTCTCTTGTGGGGTGGCCCGTTGTGGGCTCCAGGCACAGGTCCTCCCACCAAATGGAACACTGATTTACCTGGTCACAATCTTGTAGGGCCTTTGGGGAAGACACAACATTGATCAAGCATTTGCCATTGTCCACTTTTCTCCGATAGATATTAGTAATAGTAACTCACGAGCTTGTTGTGGCAGGTGATCAAAGGACTAGATCAAGGAATTTTGGGAGGTGAAGGAGTACCTCCAATGCAAATTGGTGAGGTTCTATGAATAATAAGAAGCTTCCATAGTTGTGCGATTCGATCTTTTCTCCATAAACCGGGGTTTTACTTTAACATATAGGTGGAAAACGCAAGTTACAGATCCCTCCACATTTGGCGTATGGACCTGAAGCTGCTGGATGCTTTCAAGGTGGATCTCTGATACATCCTAGTACTTAAAGTACCATTTACTTGCATTACCAGATGACAAGATCTCTGATAATCTTACTCGTCCAAAACAATTTTGTAGGGGATTGCAATATACCTGCAAATGCCACTCTCGCGTATGACATCAATTTTGTAGACATCTACAAGGGAAACCGGAAGTGAAGTAGTACACGAGCTTACTGGTTGTCAAATTTGATGATGTAAGCTTACTGAGATCGAACATCGGGCATATGCATTCGTCTCCTTGAATCAGCTACTCCGTATTTGTTATACTGAACTTTCATGACACGACATATATATATATATACAAACTTTATGGATACGCATTCTATGTGATCACTTGCATATCTGCAATGAAGTCTGCATGATTCTTGAGTATTGCTAAGTCAATATCTGTTCTGATACTTACTCCAATCCTACATGTCACTGAATACATTTTTCGGTTTTCTGACATAGCATTCACACTCGATTTGGCTCAATCTGAAGGTACAGAGCTAAAAGACGGAGGATTTTTTCCCTAGAGGTATCAAAAGTAAAGTCCAGAATTCCATGCCTGCAACAAGCAAGCAGTCACCTTTCCCTAACAAGTAAGAAGGGGTTTTATCTGCATTTTTTGCCACGATTCTTTAGATGCAGATATGTATATAATATTTATTCTCATAGTAAATTACACTTTGTGTACATGTTTAATGAATAATGTCAGATTTGTACTCAATGGTAGATGATGGAAACTAAATTGTCTTGTTCAGGTTGTTCACAATTCAATTAATTAAGAGTTTACTACACATACTTTATTTAATTTCTTATTCTCTAAGGTATAATAATACTCATAGTTACGATGTTGGAGATAGGGCTTGAATTTAAGATATCTGATTGAAAAGAAACATGAATATCGACTTTGAGATGAGGAAAAAGTGTGGTTTTTTCTTTGTTTGAGCTGGTTAGCTATGGACAATTTAGGCTGGTTTATGGTTCTTTATCTATTAAGATCACCAATTTCACACTCTTGAATAGTAATTATGAATTTCTCGCGAAATCCAAAAGTGTGGTTTTACTTGTGGGGTTTAAATGGAGCCTAAAATCTTGAATGATGAATGTGGTGAGGTGACAAGAAAGGCAGGTGTAGGCTTGTAGCGTTCAAATTTTTTGAAATCATTGCCCCCCCAACGTTTTCTTGCTTTTTATATCTACAGGATACAGCTGATGAGTGCTGAACACACTTTTCTGGTGTCTTTTCTTTTCAAGAAAACTTTTTTTTTTTTTTTGGGACTATATTTGGATTTTGGACCTTCCACTCCGAGAAGGTAAATCGAATCTGCTTAATTTTGAGGCTAGATCAAATTGGTGGAGCTTATTTTCAAACTGTTTGTGATAGTCTGATAGATTCAAACTCTCATCATATACCGTTAGAAGAGAGTTCAAGTTTAGCTACTTAACCACTAAATGTTGCCCTAGACACTTTTCTTCATTTCATATTTTCATTCCTTAAACCGTGTTGACAGCTCAGTTGATCACAGGACTAAAATTTGAAAACAATGACCGAGAGATCGAGTCATACCAATGATAGTATGAAAGCAACTTCTTAAAGTGAGGGCGGTCCTTATGTGCAGTATTTACATCTTCCCAGATGCGCATAGATTGCAATCGCTTTCTCCGAGCATCTAAAGTCAGCACACACAGTTTGCTAAGAAAAAAAGTACAGCTATGGCCAACCAAATGCAAGTTTGGAATTAGTCTCATCAATCATTACCTCACATCAAACCAAACTATTAAACATACTATACACTACATAGTACATACCTCATGCAACAAACATTACACATCAAAATAAATTATATAACTATATTATACATATCAAAATTAACTTACAAGTTACCAACCATGGACCGTAACTGTATGAGACACTTTAAGTCTGTATTATACTCACTAACCCTCATTCGCACCAAACTGGCTCAATTAAAGGGTAAAGTATTGACCAGATTGGACTAAATTTGATGAGTATAACACAATCTCCAGGAGTGGAGGGGTTTTGAAAATTTGTTGGGATTACATGACGGAGCAGGCATTAGGATTTTCGTCGCTGAAGATGGTGACGTAGGGGTCGTCGAACCTGGCGGCGGTCCCGGTGGTTGGGTTGTCGACCCTTCTCACATACCCCGGCGGCGCCTTCTTGTCGTAAGCCTGAGCGGCGTACGGCTGAGCCACCAAGTTATACGGCACATACGGCCATATCTCCGCCTTCTTCCCGGTGGACTTTGCCTTCTTTAACACCTTGTTTGCCTCTACGTAGCCTGTTACCGTCACCTTCTGCTGCTTCCTGTTTATATCTACTGTTTTCACTCCTGCAAATTAAACACCCAAAATATAATGTTGAGATTAACAAGAATCCAGAAGATTTACGTGGTTCAACAATGTAAATGATTGTAATATATACTCACCGCTTAAAGAAGACAAAGCTTTCTTGACTTTGAGTTCACACCCATCGCAGTCCATTCTGACTTTGAGCTCCACAGTCTGCAACTGCTTCTTCTTCTTCTTGTGTTTGTGGCCATGGCTGCTGCTCATCATATCAGAAATGTATTCCAGTGTTCCTCCAAGACCCATTCTTTAATTTTTTTCTTCTTAGTTACCACTTTTAGTTTAATTTCCAGATTCAAATTCAAAAGTTTTAGCAACTTTCTTGAGCTCAAAACACCATGGAAATGGAAAAGAAAAGGCTTTGTTTATTACTATTTCCCTCTTTGATCTTTCTTATTGCACCGGCCTAGTGTTTATATAGGGGCTTTTGGGAGGGTGAAGACCCCACAACGTACATGACAGCACAACACGTACTATGAACTACTGCTTTTTATATTTGCAGAGTTTGAATTCTAGCTTTATAAACTACTCCCTAATAAATATCTGGGAATAATTGCCTAATTAATTAACATGATTGGAAAAATCTGTAATATTTTTTTTTTTTAAATTATACTTGGTACAATCATATTAGGATTGATGAGTATATTTAATTTGACTCGACCTTTAAGCCCAACAAAAGTAGTATGAACATGGACTTGGGAGAAGTTGTTAGAGGGTGAATATATAAATAATCAAAATACACTTTGTTTTTCACAAACACCAAGTTATTATACTAAGTAAGCATTCAATAGACCCGTACGGGTTTAGCTTAATGGTTTAGTAGGCAGTATTTGGGGGAAGAGACTAAGGTTCGTACCGGCATTTGACCCTGTTTGCTGAACCATTGAGTCACCGTGATTTACAACTCCCCACAATGCTCTATCAAGTTAGGGATTCAACCTTTTGAGAGAAACAAGCATTCAATAGCAATTTATTGCGAGCATACAGACCGGAATCCACATTATAAAATGTCTTATGGCGTAACCCCACTCACTTGACCATTGCTGACCTCGTTTAGAGTGTATTAAACATATTTCAAGAATCAAACTCCTGATATATTCTAATGCAAGAATCTTGCTCCACCCACCTAACCACTCAACAAAAAAAATAGTATAAACATTGTTGAAACATAAATAATCAGCGGTTTGATTAGCCAGTTTTGGAAATAATAAAATTTTAAATTATTGTCCAACAACATTTCCATTAATAATAAATTATACAAGTGTGCTTACTTTTAAAGTTCAATTAGATGACAACGACACGGAACAAATTTAGTATGTGTCAACTGTATGTCTAGCCGTCTAGGGATATATAAAACATGTTTGTTTTTTTTTTCTAATGAAAATGTTTTGAAAAACATAGCATGTAAAAACCTTTAATTTGTCGAAATTCTTTAATTTAAATGGAAAAATATGTAGAGTGTACGGTTAAATTACTATCATATTAGTCCCAATTGGAAATATTTATTATTAAATGTTAAGTTACTACAAATTGATGATAGTGAATCATAATATATCATTTTCATAATATTTGATCACTTTGATTTATAGTCTCGTGACCATACTCAACAAAAAATCACAATGAAGTAAACCAATATAGATTGTTCATAGATAACATGTTCAAATTGAGAAGGCCATCAGAGGATCTCACAAGGTCTTCAGTTATCAAGTTAAATATTTGGTTCTTGCCAACAACATCTTGATTGAGGATGTTGATTGCACAGGGATTTCCTAGCTAGTAGGGCTTACCTATCATATGTGGTCGGAAAGTTATTATATAGACAATTTAATACACACCGCTAAATAGTGACGATAAGTTTCTCCCGTTACTAAAAAAAATTATATAATGTGGACTCGATGAAAGGATACAACAAAGAAAGAGCCAATCTTTGGAATAAAACAAAGAAACAGCTGGAAGGAAAGCTGTTTGATTGTTAGTATAATTGTGTGAGTTAGCTCAGCTCACCAAACCTTTCAATTCATATATATATAATTCATAATATCTTAAAATTGAATGAAGCTTCATTCTAACCTCCCCCTGTTAGAGCTGATTAACGTTGTTAGAACGATCAAAACAGCCGTGTCTGGTCATGCATCGTCTCTTTCCACGTTGTTAGAGCATACATTATATTGTCTCCCATCCTAACAACAATATTCATGCATCGTCTCTTTCCAAGATCATTCAAATGGTGATTAGTCATTTCTTTTATTATTTTTTATACACTTTTTCCTTTAGATTTGACCTATTTGGAAATGAGTTGTGGATTGCATAATACTTTTTTTTTTTTCGATAAGTCTTAAATCATTAAAATCATAAAAAATTATATCAAGAAACAAAAAAAAGGAAGGGGCAAAATGCCATTTTTCGGGGCTTGTCATAGAAATGACTTCTCTGATCAGAACGTTAGTAACATAATTTGCAGTAAACTTTTTTGAAGAAGAAAAAAAAAAAAAACCCTTTAAAACAACCCACATCCACTTTAGCTTTGTCAGCATGACCATTTGTTAATATTATGATTTGGAGTAAGTTAAAAAGTTTGGAGTAAGTTAAAAAATTCTTACAATGATTTTTATTTTTTATTTGTTGGTCTCTTGAGATTATAGATAAGAAGATAACATTATGGTGACCCACTGTTATTATAACATATAAATCTCCAACTTACCTTACAAAAATGATGAATGTATGAATAACATGATGAGGAACAAATACATGTATCTATATCGGATATAGACAAGCACTTTAATTAGCATTAGAAAAATTATTAATTGTTACGATGTTGCTTTCACTGCACCACCACTTGTTAATTGATGCAAGCATATGCTCATCACTACACAACAATCTTTAATTGGTTTTATTTTCACCTATGACCTAATCAATATATAATATAACATTGATATTCACCCTTTTTTTTAATATATGTTTTTTTTTTTCAATTGAGAAACTAAATTTACATTACAAATAAAAGATTAAATCTATGCCATATGATCTGATGAAAAGTGTCACGTTCTCTCTATAATTTAATAAATAATTATTTACGATCTTTAGATACGTTTAAATGATATGTATTCAATCCCTAGCTATTTACAAATTACATAGCACTTCCAACAAAATAAAAAATAAAAAAATGACTATGTGCGCGGCCCTTAATTTTCCGCGAAAATAGAGGACCTCGAGATTTATGATGTGATCTCTTTTATTCCATCATACCATGCATTAAAAAAAAATAAAAAATTAAAGCTCTCAGAGCGCACTTATGGATAGCAACGATTAGCTTACACGTAATATCAATAAAATTACTATTATTGAAATTCAAACAATCAAACTCTTTACCATCTAAATTAAAATTTTTCTCTGACGTGACACTATTTGATTGGATATTTTAGTCATTGATTATAAGTTTGTGCAATTAACCTACTCATGAGTATCCAATAATCCATTAAAAAAAAATCCTATTAAGAGTAAATACATCAATCAAAGAGCCAAAATACTAAAGTAAGAATCCCACTAGCTACTGCCTACTTGATTGGGAAAAAAGGTAAATAAAGTATATTTAAAAAAAAAAAAAATCATGAAAGTTTCTAGTCCTCAATGGGCCTCCAATAATTTACCAAAAGTCACCTTCAATTCTTCCTTTTCTGCATTGTTTGCATCCATACACACATTCACTGATGATTCACATAGTCCAAACCCCTCCAAACAACCCACTGAAATATATAATACTTAAAAGGTTGTTAATAATAATATTATTATTTTATTTATTAAACCACGATGTGTCTTGAATAGACCTCACTATAAAGTGAAACATATTTTTAATACATACAAATATAAAATAATGTATGGATTATTAACTCTTATATACAAGTGCAATAAAAACCATCATGAGTTAAACATTAAGCAATAAAATGAAGAAGAAAAAAAATAACATTATTCCAAAAATAAAAAATCCATTAACTTATATAATGTTATGTCTTTTATATTACAACACGATCCGAAGAAGCAGGGTGTCCTATGTGCTAATGTACGTCCGACAACACATCTATAAAGTTGGCATTAAATATAAGAAACAACCACAATCCACTAAGGTTGTTAGGTGACGGAATCTTATATTATAGCCTTATAGGCTGTAGGGTGGTCATGCCATACACAGACAACCTTTGAATTCATGATTTTCTATACACAAATCATAACACTGTCTATACTTACCTCAATCGCCCCACACTAAAGCTCAATAGGTAAATTACTGTAACTCAGCGGCCTCTTAGGTGGTAAGATCAGACCAGTGTTGAATGCTCACGAGAAATCCACCACATTAAGTGTTAACTCCCACACAGACAATATCAACCTATAGGGGATTGCTACGGCTCCCGGGACAAAGTTTAGTGGTGCAAACGAAACACGAGAGGTGGGGAACTCTTGGGGTTGGGGTTCAACTCGACTATTAAGATCCACCCTAAAACATTCACAAAAAGGTCCTAAAAGGATTGTGTGAAGAAAGCAGTGAAAGAAGGAAAAGATTTGCCAGATAAAGTTGGTGTTTGATAATGGCATTAGCTTTTGAAGGTGTACTTCCACCAACAGCTGCAGGAGAACCTCCATGATTACCCGATGCGTTTGCTTGCTCGATTGCAGGCAACGGGTTAGGCAAGCGGCCATTGGAACCGCTTTCTGTATCATCAGCGAAGTCGTGACCTGACATGGAGTGCATATACAGTTCGATCAAATCAAGCGATTAAACAACACAAACGCATTAATGTTACCGAGAGCTAGCAATGCTCGCTGAAGAGTAATGAAAACAAAGCATAGTTTAAACTTTAAACCAAACATAATGCGTATGTAACGCATTTTTACTCACAGTCTGAACGTGACCAGCCCATTTTCTGATTTTCTCTATCGAATACCATTCGATATCCAGTCATGAAGTTTTCTGCACAAAGAAATTGGTTACAGTAATGTTTCGATATTCCCATAACCACACATTTTCTATAAGGTAGAATTCAAGAAGAAAAGGGGAGACGATCGAGCAAAACTTACGCCCAATTATTCCCATATCTCCTTCGATGGGTTGCACAGCTAAACAAAACCCAGCTAAACCCTGCAACATTCAGAGCATGAAAGAGAGATCAAGTGCACTTTCTTAATATCAGTTCACTATGCGTGATTCGGGTACTTTGGTAAGGGAAAAACCGAAAAATAAGTTCATATACAAACATAAATTGAAGATATAAGTGGACCGTATAGCACAAACCTGAGTGCCATAAATTGCAACAATAGGATCTTGGACTACAAAACTGTTGTTCGACCCGAAATTAAGAGCCAGTAACGGCACCTTTGGCAGACCTTTTGAAC